CCCCCCCCCCCCCCCCCCAAAAAAAAAAAAAACTAAATGCTAAGATTGTTTAATGAATCCCCGAACAAGACAAGATTGTGAAAGATTGGAACATTGTAAAATAATCTAGTCAAAAGCCAAAAAAACTACACAGACATTATTAAATATAGATCAGACACTAGTAAAGAGACTAAATATTTTAACAAAAGTACATCCCAATAAATACAGTTCACCACTTGCTCGAGTATACTAGCAATGCTGGACAGTGATATTTAAAAATCAGACCAAGTGACCGACTCTTGTATTAACTTCTGAAAATTTGCAGTTTGGCAGAGCATGAAAATAGTCTAATAAAACAGAAAGTACAGAATTGGTAGTATAGTATACTAAATTTAACTTCATCAGTTTGATAGCTCAGAGAAATGCAACATCCACCTACAGAATGAGGAAAGAAACACACTCCTGACTGTCAGACCAAAAACCTATCTGATCTCAGACAACATCAATATGGAATGCCATTAAAGACAAACCACACAATATGAATAGAGGAGGATAACTAACAAATACATAAACTCTTAACAGAAAAACCACAATACATACTCTCAACATTGTAATGAGCGGAAGGAAATCATCAAAACAGGCGTAGGACAAAGCATATGTCAACCTACCACCACGAATGAATATGGTTACAGCCCTTGAATTTGCACAGTGTTCAATATAAATCATCCGATCTTTCGTTGTACCAAAGGATTTTTCTCGAACCAAACCAGCCTGAATGGATAACACAAAACACCAGATTAATGTTTCTAGCGCATTATAAAACTGTCATTTTATAACGTAATCCACACAACAAGCTGAACGGAATATTCAACAACAAATTGTGTTCATAAAGCCACCTTAAATCCAAGAAAAAAGTCACTAGCTCTTCCAAACAATTAACAGAAACCAAATCAAGGCTTTAATGGGCAGAAAATGACAAGATGTACGCATTTCAGCTGCACTTGAATACCAGCCACTTGGTTGGTAGGGAATTTTTAAGTGCAGGGAAGGATCCCATGTTGGAAGTAGGGTCTTATTTCAGAGTGATTGCTCTATGTCTCACAATCAATGATCTTTGGTACTTTTTTATTATATAATACCTTTCAATACTTATGTATTTTAAAAAGTTACAAGTTCATTTTTACACAAAACCATGCTTTTCAATGATTAGTTGAAAGTTGAGCATAACCATTAACAAGGGCTTCGTCCCACAGATTATTGCTGCGAAAGCCCCATTGTGTAGTCCATCACCAACTAGGACTGAATAAGACACAACAGAAAATAATGGCTTAATTACATGACTAGAGGGAGAGAATACCTTTCCTAGCTTTTCTGGAGTTAACTCTTGAAACCTTGGCACAATTCTCCCACCTAGACAAACAAGACACAAACCGTTCAATTGGTATTAAACTCAATACTCATCTAGACAAAATGCAATAGCTAATTGGGTATAGACCTGTGGCTATTGCTATCAGCTCCAACTCAACACCACCAACCCATCGCACAGCAGGTAAATTTCTATGCATTAGTAAGTGATTTGCTTCGTCGTCGAAACCCCATTGGCAGATAACCAAGGTAGCACCAACATCCTACAACTCAGCAGTGACAAGCCTTGTTAGTAAAATAGGCTCATCATCAACAAAATAACAGAGTAATATAGAAGCATTACCCCTAACTTTGCATTTTAGTTGCTACACCACCTACCATAAAACTTATGCATTAATCCTACCTTGCACTTTTGAACCATGTCATCAAAGTACTTCTGCTCTTGCAGCCGTAAAGTTTGGAACTTTTCCACTGTATCAATGTCAACCTTATGTTTTGTTTTTGGCTTTGGTGGCTCAAAGGGGCAAGTCAGGATGGCAATCTTTGCATCTTCTATCTGTTTTGGCATCTGGGGATGACTCATATCTTTTTCAACAATAATTCCATATATTAGCTCTGTGTCCTCCAACTTTCCACCTACTTTCCCTTCCACTTTAATTAGGTCTAAGTTAACATCCTTCCTCTCTAAATCAGCAACTGCTAAAACTGCTTTGACAGCAATCTCGGCTAAACTGCGCTTGCACCGATTGACACTGCAATGTAAAATTAATGAATTAGAACATGCAAAGATATAGCCACCTATACTGCAACCATCAGCTCATGGTATGCACTCACGGATTAAAAGGTCCCAAATTAGCAATCAGATCATGTAGGGCACTCCTGTTAGGGATACTGGGGCATAAAAACCTCACTGTACATTGAATATTAGAAGGACCAAAAAAAACCAGAAGCACGATGTTCAGTGGTCCATCAATCAATCCAAGAGAAAACAAGTAAATAACTCCTGATAGCAGGAGCTCAACTAGTGTACAGCCCACGTCAAAAATGGTTTGATTCAATATTGTAACAATCAAGTCACAGCAGTAGTATTTTGTGGATAAGACAAATGCATCAATTTTAGTCAGCTTGACCGCATTTAATCATCACTCACTGCAATCCCGCCGACATACGAGAATATATTGAAGTATTCCATAGTCCACAAATGCCAGCAATACCAATAATACTTTGTGAAATCATTTTTATTAACGCAAATCTTGAAGAATGCTTCCAAACAATCAGTTAACCAAATGAGTAAAGGATAGGAAAAACCTTCTAATATCAAATTTTATCCAAATAAACAAAATTGAACAAACCTGAAACTTTATTAGCAATAGAGTTGTACAAAATAGTACAGTAGAGAAGAAAAAAGTGGGTGGAAATTATGACTTACATCTTGGAGGATAGAGTAGTCATGCAAGTTTGAACCAAAGGTTCAATGTCTGCTGCGCCAAATTCAAATTTATTGGCTATACACTCCAAATGATCAACAGCTATCCTCGAAGCCATTTCATAGCCCTCTGCAACCCGAATAGGATGAATGCCACGTTCTAACAGCTTCTCAGCCTGATCTAGAAGTGCACCAGCCATGACAACAACTCCAGTTGTTCCATCACCAATTTCATAATCCTGACTCCGTGACAATTCAACCATCAGCTTTGCAATTTGATTGTCAACATCCATTTGCTCCAAGATTGTTGCACCATCATTTGCTACAACACAGAAATCAAAGTTGAATTAAGCTCATATCTACATAATAAAACAAAGCTATCCAAGAAAACAAAGAGCTTAAAATTTTTCCATGAGATAGCATGGTTACTGCTGTTGCCTATGCAAGAAAAGGACAAAGGCTAACAGAGGCACAAATGCAACAATGATAGGACACACATGACAACATGAAATTCTAGAGGACTTCTCTTGAAGACGTCAGCATTGCAGTTTATGAGTTGTCATTTTTGTATCTAAAATATTCTATTTTTAGGAAAATCAACTATTCCAAAAGTGCACAATCTAAATAGAAAGTGCATTCCAATTTTCAGCAACATGTAGATAGAAAGCGGTTGAGTGCAACACAACAGTTGCACGATCCATCCAAGGATTTCTCTCACAAGGTAAAATAAATTTTTGAATCCATTTTCAGAACTTGTCTCGATCAACCAAAAAAACACATTGAAAACCACTTAAAATCATAACCACCATCAATTGCATGAACTTCAACTGGAAATCAATGAAAACTAATCCAAGTACACATAACCAATATAAATATCTTTTTTGTCTCGCTTTCTACTTTTCCACAACAGCTACTCATAAATAACAAGTGAAAGACACTAGATCACCTCATAGATCAAGTATAAAGCAGCAGAAAACAGTAAATATCCAAAAATCCAAGCTCCCACTTGCTATGAATAACACTCTGAAAAACCTACCTGCTTGCGACCAAAAGTGGCGGAACAAATTAATCCCTAAGGAATTATTGGCTACTTAATCAAGTCACTAGATCAGACATTCTAGTGTTGTTACACTATCAAACCCTACTTGCGTGAGCATAACTATCCCGAAGCAACATTGGCAACTTAACTAGGTACTAAAACACTGAATTACATGAATCTATCAGTACACGCAGGTGCATATGCGGAGAAAGAAAGAAAAACAGAGAAAGAGAGAGAGAGAGAGAGATCGTGTATGTTACTGATGGTGACATCGCCATCGGGACTTTGGAGCATCTTGTCCATGCCCTTGGGGCCAAGGGAGGTGCGGAGGATGCGAGCCACGGCTTTTCCGGCGGAAATGTTGGATTTCTGAGCATCAAGACCTCTCAATCTGGTCTTTTGTTCTTGCTCCTTTATGATTATGAATGGCCTACCGAACTCATCGAACGCTAACGCCATTTCCTTCTCTCTTCACTTCCACTGCTCAACTATCAGATCGTCGAAAGGAGCGACTCTTTTGAAAATCGGAAAGAGAGAGAGAGAGAAGCGTTGAGAAGGAAAACGCGAGGAGAGTGAGTAAGCTTCTCTAGGAAGAAGGTTTGAGAAGCTTATAGCATCTGGTGGACTGCTTTCTGTTTTGCCCTAAAACCCCTCATCGGTGTTTTGTGCTCGCCCTTTTAATAATGCTCCGCGGGCTTGATAGTAGTCTAGCTATTCCCAGCCCTTTTGGGCTGGTCCAAAAGAGTGGCCCATTAATAAAATTTTAATATTTGTGCAATTTCAAAAGTAAAATAAATAGGTTTGAATTTTTGAGAACCGGTCTAGTTGGAACGAATTGTGGAATTGTGCTCGGTTTTGACCGGTTTACACGGTTGCTTCACGTGTTAATTGAAAACCGGCCTAGTTAAGGTGACAGTTGTACGTTTTTCCAGGTTGACCCGTCAAATCGGATCGGGTTTTAAAACACAACTTTGGAATATTTCTGAAAAAAAAAAAAAATCTTTAGAAATTCTAAGATAAATCCCATTTTTCAGTTTTTCTTTCATACTTATAAAAACTATTTTTACTCCAAAAAAAACTAATGAAAAAGTGACGCAATAAGCCTAAATTCAAATGAAATAGACTTCTTTTCCTCTTTAAAAAAAAAAAAAAAAAACTGAAAACCCCCTCCAAACAGGCTCATTAAGCGTGTAGTGTAGAAAATTTTAGCTGCAAGACTATAAAGTGAGAATTTTTTTTTTCTTGATTTGATCACAAGTTATTTAGAAAAGCACTTTTCACCATCCTTGCTTGTTTTATCGAAGTTAATATAAATATAAATATACATATACTGACAAATGTCACTCATGCAATATACAAAATTTATTTCTCATATCATTATCTTATTGCACTTTTTTTAAATCCTCATATTACTTGAAAAATTACCCATTAAATGAATTAAAATAATATTTTAAATTTAAAATAATTTAGAGAGTGATTAAATAAACCAAATAAAATAATTTGATTAAAATTGATTAATTTAATATTTTAAAAATATAAAAATTAAGCATTTGAAAAGGAAAGACTCACCCAAAATAGAAGACAAATCTAGAACGATATTAGCATGATGGTAACTGCTCTTCAGCTCAAACAATGTGTCATAAAATTATCACGACGTTATAGGTGCAATCTTGTGCAATAAATACAATTACAGCCAGAACAATACTACCAGTGTACCCGATAGTCAAATATTAGCAAGAAAAATCGACCGCCCTTCTTTAAATATGATTCCACGACATTAATCTAATGCAGAATACCAGAAGCACTAACAAGTCAAGTGTGCAACAAAGACGAGTATCAACAGATAAAACCAGACAAACCTTTCGGAAACAATGCAGCATCAAGCACTCCAAATCACACACCCGGTTCAAAATTCAGCAGAAAATGGAAACTGGTCTCGTACACGATCACACACACACATAGAGAGAGAGAGAGAGAGAGAGAGAGAGAGAGAGCAAAATTAGAATATGAAACCTAAAGAGCAAGGACAAGAACAATATCATCCCAAAAATACAGATAAACATCGTCCCAAGCACCAATCAAATGAAATTCCTATCTCAGCCTTCAAACGTCACACACAATACAACACACGAACAACCCAGCATAGGAACACAACAAACAACGACATAGATAGCCAAGAATTGATAACTTACTTGAACTTGCCCTTATAACTCTTTATATATAATCTACACTAGAAATTCCTGGGGAAAAAAAATACTATACACCCACGATTCAAGGAACACAAGGATATTTCGAGTTCTCTGATATAAAGTAGTTTTTGTTTTTTACTCTTTGGTGGGTTTTGTTGTTTTGGGTTGGCTGTGTGCGTGTGGGTTGAATTGGGTTGTTTGGAGAGGGAGGGGGTAGAAAGCAAGAAATGGCTCACATTCTTCAAATCCTAATACAATGCAATCCCCATAAAAAGGTTGACCCACTGTTTATCCACAGATATGGCAATAAAAAAGGCTTTCCTACAACATTTGGACAACTCAGATCCACAAACTCCTCTGTTATAAAACAGTACTGGCACATTATACAGCATAATTACGATGTTACAATCAACCACCATTGACAAGGTCCACATGGAAGCACAAAGTCAAGAAACTCCAGTCAAAAAACACCCCTCATAGCTTTACTCCCACTTATAAGTATTTTCTTACACAAATCACTTATAACTAATATCAGGTTTTAGTGTTATTTCTAGCCCATGCCCGTGGTTGGGAGTAGGGGAAGAAGCAATGATAAAATGGTTTGCTTCATAAAACTACATTGCATGGACATTTTAGAACCTGCTCAATATGATCGTAGTTATAGCTCAAACCAACAATAGGCATTTAGTCAACTTAATAAAGCTGTCAATAGCAACAGCACGGGAATGAGAAAGAAAACAAATGGATAATGTTAGATAAATCCAATAAATCATTTGGGTCACCATGAGTTACAAATTACACAAAACAAGATACAAAACCACAATAGAGATGCTCAAATGATTGGAAACATCCTTATCAGGCATCAGCAAAGCAGTACCCATACGATGAAAATGCACATTCTTGAACATGCTGCACTTCCATCGGCAATGATGCCACCCCACACATACAAAAATAGTACAACCAATAAAAGAAAAAAGTTGAGACCTAGTGTACATCGTATAGTAACTCCACTCTCATTTTCTTATTACTGAAACTGGAAAAACATAATTGATACACAGAAATACCCCCAATGATGAAATTACAAATTTGACTGCCTCCAATGTCCAAAGGACATAAAGCCGAGGGGAAAGGATGCACAAGGCTGCAGACAACCACAAGTCTTCCAGTTCCAGCCCCATCCATATAAACAAGCAATTCAGAACTCATGGAATCCTAAACAAAACTATACCCGACAATTTACATGACAATGAATAGTACAACACATCCGACCATTGTTAATCTTACATGGAAGTATGCTACATCAGCAACACCAACTTCTTCAGGTATTACAATGACCAATTACAATTGGAACACTAACAATGTTACAACGTACAAATAATACAACCTAGACTCTCCTATAACAAAAACTAACCTTATCAGACACAACATACAAACAAGTATGGGCCCTCAAAATTTGTACAAGACTTTTACAAGCTCACCAAGGAGACACAAATATGGCAAAAGAGCCCATTACATTTTGCAAATCTAATATACAAAAAACAACAAAAACGGCACAGTACAGAGCTCCGCATGCAGACTCACAGATAAGGTGTCACATCCAAAAACAGAACACCAATATCCTTCCATAACCGACAAAATAAATTGGAATATTACTAGAAATTTCCTTGCAGGGCACTACTACAAAAAATTGTGTAAACGCTTGAGGTAAACAAAATGATGGCCAAATAATATATTTAAGGCTTCTTCGGCACACTAGGCAGAAATCATCCAGTTTAACTCATCTTCCTCCAGGTAACCAATATATGCTGATACAATCAAACACAAAGATTTGCCCACTTTGCATCCTGAATATGATGATAAAACAAGAAAAATGAAGAATTCCCATGTCAAAACTCAGTAAAGAGACCAAGGAAGTATCAACACCATAATCTATATTTGCTACAGATTATAATGGACAGATACAAGAAAGAGCATTGCATCATCAGTCGAACTCTAGGGAAATAAACACCTTTTCTTGTACTAGTAAGTTGCTACTTAACTTGGCCAAAGCCTTAAAAACTCGTCCATCTCCTAATTAACTAGACGGCACTTTCGGCACATCACTTCTAAGACAAACAGAGTACTCTATGTGACAAATGAATTATAACACTCCTGGGTTAAAAGTAATCCGAAGCAACTCGGACAAGCAAAATGATTTTTCCCTCTTGCTAAAGCATGTCACATCCAGCATATCAGAAATACAGACCAAATAAATACAACTACAAACATCAAAATACCGAGCAGATATACATATATGCTTTTAGCCCCATTGTTGTATTCTATCAAATACAGAATATGCGCGAATTGATAATTATCCGTATCAACCTTAGAAAGTTTCATGTCCATAGCGCATTTCTGGTTTCACCAAGGGGCTCGTCATTAGCTCAAGGGGCTCACATCTAACAGGTCCTCTACATTTCAAAATTTCATCCTTGCTTTTGGAAACTCTATTCCATTGTGTGTGCGCGCGCGAGAGAGAGAGAGAGAGAGAGAGAGAGGAAAAGCCCTGCTCCCGTATATTGAGCCAGTTGGGCCCTTTATGTTACTTGGACTTTTCAACGATGTTATCAAGTCTAGGGTAAGTAATTATAGCAACCTGCAGCAAACTTAAGAGAGAGAGAGAGAGAGATTTTGCCCATAATCAACATAATTAAACGCACAATTTTTGTTTCATTCATATAACATCTTAGGAAGCACGGATACAGATACGGGTACGATACGATATAGCGATACGACAAAACCTTAAAAAATAGGATATGGATAACCTTAAAAAATAGGATATGGATACGGCTATAATAAAATATATTTTATTTTTTACTATTATTTAACAACTTAAAAATTACAATTTTTAGTAATACTCGAGCAATAATAAACAAAATTAACAATTTTTACTTCGAAAAAAGTGTAATATTATTTTATTATATGATATATTCATACAGTAAACGCGACCATGTAAAAGAATTTGAACTGACATTTAACTAGTAGGTTTGCTTAGAGCATCTCCAATTATGTCTCAAATTTAAGTAAAAAACTTAATTTAGTACAGAACACTCCAATGGACAACCTCAAATATCTACTCAAATCTTTTTAAAAATACCCTTATTGTCCCAAAGTTCATTCTTTTTTCCCACCAAAATATTTTATCCTCTCTCATTTTCTTGTCTTCATTATCTCCCCAATATTAAAACAGAAAAAGAAAGACTCCCCAATATTAAAATATGTTTCTTACAAACTTCACCAATATTAACCAAAAGAAAAATAAGGAATAACAACTTCTTTGAGGGGTAAATTCCCGAGCTTTTTACCGTTTAAAGCAAGAGAATTTTTTAAAATATCTACTTGATATCAACTAACAGTATTTCTTGCCCTCAATTCCATCTAAAACAACTTCTATCTAGAGTAATTTTGTACGAGAGACAGAGAATTAGAGTTTATGAGAGAGAAAAATGGTAGAGAGAGAGAAAAAAAAAATATTAGTCAAGCGCTAGCGCCCCTATATAGTAAGACCATTCTACTATCAATGAAATCGAAAGAAACACAAAAAATCCTGTGCATTTTCGTATAGATCGAGACTTGTAGCTTGATTCTTCACTCATTCCATACTAGGAAGAATTACAGGAAATCGTTCGATAACACTTCTTCCTATTTCTTTTTCAATGATATTCGACGATCAAAACAATTGAGAGTAAAAATTACCCTGGAATAATAGAGGCACGAAGAGGCAATGTGGTCGGCGGCGATAGCAATGGCTTTGAAGATAAAGGCAAGAACCTGTTTCGTCCAATGAGTCTTTTGGGTATGGACTATGGATAAGATAAAAAGTTATCATTGTAAATTTGATATAGTATTTGAGTCTCTTGCAATTTGGGTCCATAATAAATTTTGCCTTAATTTGATATAGGTTTTGGTCTAAGGTTGAAAAATTTTATGTTCACTATTTTTGACTCAAATTTAAATTTAAATCTACATTTGAGTCAGAGTTGAACATACTCTTACAAATATTTGTTTTTAAGGTTATAGTGTAACTAGTTCATTTATTTATACTCTTTTGACATGTAATAGTAGATCCTTTTAAAAACACTTGTGTCTTCAAAGTCAAATCAAATTTTATTGATATTTCGTATTGTATGTCAACTAGAAAAAAAAAGGTACAGATTAAAATTAAAATTGTAGATCTTATTCCATATGTTGAAGTATCCACATATTTTATTAATTATTTAATACGTATGATGTGTATCCGATACATATCCTCAACTATTCGACAAGTATCGTATCCGATACAATATCCAATACGGGTCCATCAACCTTGACGAAGTATCCATACTTCATATATTACTTTTGTACTAGGGTTGATACATGATCTTTCTTGGCCAAACCCAATTATAGTATTTCCACCTACGGAAAAACCTAAATATTTCTTGGGACACAATTAAAAGAACAACGCAATGCACCTCTCAACCTTTCAAGCTTATCCTGCACTGCATTAATACCAACGATGACAATCTTACTCTTATTAACCTTTGATATGAGATCAATCCAAAACCTTGTACTATAGAATGCAAATTACGAACTTCCTCCTCATTTCTGCATAAAAGGAATCTTGTACCATCAACAATCTGTAAATCATAAGGAGGTTCCATCCCTGCCTTCCAAAAGACCCTCAACAAGGTGAACTGCCTTTACTCTCTTGACTAATCTGCTCAAACCATCAACCACTAATGTAAGCAAAAGAGGCAATAAAGGATCACCTCACATTAATCCACAAAAAAGCCCAAAAGCATTTCCCCCATGCTCCGTTCGCAATTACTGGCAAGTTTATTAAAGTCAACAACCAAGAATCCACTTCATAATTCATATGCCCACAACGTTCTTATAGTCATCTTCTTCTCCACACATCCTGATTCTCCGATGTATTTATTCATCTAAAACCAGCATTGACCTCTCAACACCTAAGCCAACCATATCTGCACATACTCTAACCTTGTGAAGCATTACACTACCTTAGATGATGAAGCTCAATTAGGTGAGATGGATGATAGTGAAACACTCTCATAAAAAGAAATGCCTGTTTGCTCAACAACACCAATAACGTTGAAGATAAAGCAGAGGAAAGATTTCCTATGATCTGGACACAAAACATCTTAGGTGGGGGCACAGCACATAAAGGAGCATATAGAAGAACACAATGTTACGATCCGTCAGAGACAAGACTATAAATGGAATACTTCGACTTATCATAAGACAGAAATAAAACCGACAGAGTAAATGTTCCTGTACCAAAAAATTACATCTTGTTTTCTGTTATTTTAAATCGCTTTACTCATCTCATCCAATGGTGCATCTAACTACCCTGAACCACACTGGCAAGTTTTCCTTGTACACTAACTCAAAGAGAGATTAATATATGAAGAAAGTAATATCTAGATTATAGACTAAACTCATGCAAACTACCAGATATGATTATGACAAACTAGGCTACTTAGATGAGTAACCTTATTGAAAGCAAACTGGGCCACTTCGGGGAAATCTAATTATTTGAACTGCTGAACCTTAAAAGCGAGAAAATGAGATAAACAAGCACCCAGGATTCTTCAATACCCAAGTAATTTCTAAGTGAAAGTCAAATTAGCATGCACCTTGTATCCTTCCATAACCAGAGTTTATAACATTGATCTTACAAAAAGAAAAGAGCAGAATAGAAGAAAAAAAAAAGTAGATAATGAAAAATAGGCATAACAAAATCAAAAGATGCAGTGAAAGGGGGTTCGTTCTCCTAGTTAGACCTATGTAATAAAACCACCAGAATTTTGCAAAGACTGACACCAAAGGAACAGAAAACTTCTGCTTGCTTGTTCCTACAAGTTTCACCCATGTTCACCAATGGCAAGCTGTATTAACAAATTGACACAAGCACCTTTTTTTCTCTCACTTCTCCTTGTACAAAAAATTAAAATGCCAAATGCACGAGGCTTAAGTCATGCAAATTTGCTGCGAGTTCTTCATTTTTCTAGCTATTTCCTACTTTTAGTTTTTCATAAGCATAGGAAAAACAAAATAATTGATATAAAAAAAGTCAAAATTTTATATAGCACACAATACTTGTACGCAAATATCAGAAGGATTTACTTTGACTTCAAAACTGTAAAACAAGGGGAATACGAAAATGAAGAACAAAAAGCACTCAACTTCTCAGCTTCATGACAACAGTCCATATCAACTTTAAGCAACACCATAACGAAAGTTAAAAAAGCAGTTGACCTATAATCAATGCCAAGTACATATGTAGCATTTAATTCAATAACTCTGTGGGAGAGAGAGAGAGAGAGGTTGAACATGTTAAGGAAAAAAACCATTCATTAATGTAGGTTAGAAGTTAAAAGCACTGCATGAATCATGATCCAATGATACTGTCCTCTGCATCTAGACTTGTTTCAGATTTCTCTAACATGAGAGGTAACTGAAACAAATATTTAAGGACAATAAACTCAAAAAGTTATGTTATAAAATGAAAAAGTTTGTAGTATCTTGAAGGCACATGCCTCAGATACAGTTGTTTCGAATAGAAGTTTAAGCACAACATGTATTAAACACATGTGATGTCCAGCAGAACGGTACCAGAAGCCTAAATCCAAAAAGCAAATCCGCAAAAGTACGCTAACGAAACTACTAACATAGTTCAGCACCAATATTAAATGTTGCATCAGTTTATGTTCAGTAGGAAGCAGAATAAACGCAATGGGAAATCTACTCTTGCCCCCAACCCATACGAGTGGAACTTACTTTTTCAAGAAGCCACGGCCTGCATGTGGCACCATAAGAACCAGAAAGAACGACTGTAGCTCCATTTTAGATTCCAACAGAAAGACACTAGGAAGTGAGAATGCCAACGTCAAAGCCTCATATATGCTTTCCAGAACAAATGGCATGCATAAGTGTGTCACTCTGATGGTAGGCGGCGGCGCTTCCCATAATCTGCATCCCTTGATCGAGACCGGTGATCCTCTTCTGGAACTGCACGCGATCTGCTCCGAGATCTCGAAGAAGAGTGTCCCCTGTCCCAGTCATCCTCGTAACCCAAGTCACGTTCTTTATGCCTGTGCTCTCGATAGCCATCCTTCTCTTCCCTGTATCTGTGCTCCCTATCATACCTGTCCCTATCTTGCTCTCTCTCCTCACGATGCCTCTTCTCAGAGTTTCCCGACCAGTCACGCTCAGAACCTCGTTCCTTTTCCCGGGAAGCAGCATTTGACCTTACTCCTTTATCATGACTTGCCTCTCCATACCCATACTCAGAAGCCCCATCTTCACCACCATAGCTCGACTCCCTCGTCCCTCGACCATGATCTTCCCCTCCCCATCCACCCATGCTACTGTCAGTCCACATTCCACTATGTTGCCCATCCATACCAGTGGTCCCCATCATTCCCATTCCACTAGCAGCCATTCCTCGGCCAAAGAAGGCAGGATTAACATGAGGAGCCACCCCAGCAAGTCCCATAGGATTAACAGCTGGAAATGGAGGAAGCATCCCTGGGAAAGCAGGACCCGAAAAGCCTCCATAACCAGTTCCTCGACCCATATAAGTTGGATCAAATCCTGCACCCATCATACCCTGATGAGGCATCAATCCAGCAGGAGGACCCCCGAAACCAGGACCTACCAGGCCTTGCCCATAAGCTCCTCCACCGGCACCGCTTCCAACACCAGGACCATTCCCAATCATGTTCTTCGCTCCCATAGCCCCTCCTCTCCCCCTGATGGGCCCACTCCCTGGACCCCTGTTGAGTATTCCCTGCCCTCGTCCCCACCCACCTCTTCCAAAGTTCCTCCCTGAATCGCCACTGGGATAATTTGTTCCCCCGCCTCTCCCCGGCCCATCATTCATAGGCCTCCTGCCCTGTTGCTGAGACTGAGGTTGGACTTGGGTTTTGTTCATATAAGAATCCCCCATCTGCCTTAAAGTTTGCGGAGAAGCAAACGTTACCACACAAGCACGCCCGTTGAAAACATGTCCGTTCATTCCTTCTTTGCACGCTGCTGCAGCACCTGGGTCATAAAATTCAACTTGACAGTAGCCTTTGGATTTACCACTAGCCCTCTCATCAAAGAACTTGATCTCCTTGACCCTACCATATTGAGATAACACACTCTCAAGCTCTGCATCAGTGGTCCACCAATGCAGTTCCCCCACAAAAAGCATGGTAACACCATTCTCCGCAGCAGGCCGCATTTGACTTTCATGGACAGCGGGGCGGTTAACATTCACATCTACATTTGTACCCATTTGATTAGCTGGCATTTGCGGATTACCTCTTGGGGCACCTGTACCAGAATTTACTAATGGTGCAGACTCATTTACAGCTTTTCCCGGCACATCAACAGAACCAACCCCAGTTCTTTGGGGAATAGGCATCTGTCCTTGAAACCCCAAATTTCCTGCCTGAGAACCATGAGTCATTTCCGGAACCCTTCCTTTTTGTGACACATCAACAACTCCCAGTTCTGGTCCTCTAGAAACAGTAAGCCCTCCCTTCTGCTCAGGGAATTGGGGCCCTGCATTTATGTACTTCCCTTCGGTTGCAACACTGGGAATGCCAACCTCTTGTGATACCATAGCTCCTGCTCTAGGTTCAGGAATGATGGTTTTCTGATCTTGAAATCCCCCTGGACCCCCGCTGCCCACACCAACAGATGGCACTTGTGCCTCTGACCGCTGCAGCTGCAGGAAGCCCTCTCCAACATTTACATCATTGTAAAGATCATCAAATTCATCATCCTCACCTATCATTTCATCCTCTGCAAGTGCAGGAATTGCTCCTCCTTCATGATACTGAGGCTTTTGAGCTCCTCCGAATTCCTCGTCTCCATAGTCTAATTGCTCATCAGCCATTGGATCCATTTAAGCTAACTCCAGTTCAAGAAAAGTACCAACACCTACTCAACAACAGGAACCGTGTGGTGATTAAAATAGACGAATGATTCGCACAATTCGAGCTGAGGATTGAGTAACAAATAACAATACAGATTTTCATCATGAGCTCGAATTCGAGCCTCATACCGGCCCAGGCCTATGCTGACCAAAAAAATATCTAGTTTTGCTTTTCATAAAACATAACCTTATCAAAAAGCTTTCATTTCGGCTCCAGTTTCTCGCCTGAAATGTGAGATGCTCAAGCTTCGCTCTTGTTTCGCCATGAGCTCGAATTCAAGCTCGGGATTGAGTACCAAAGAACAATACAGANTTGATCTCCTTGACCCTACCATATTGAGATAACACACTCTCAAGCTCTGCATCAGTGGTCCACCAATGCAGTTCCCCCACAAAAAGCATGGTAACACCATTCTCCGCAGCAGGCCGCATTTGACTTTCATGGACAGCGGGGCGGTTAACATTCACATCTACATTTGTACCCATTTGATTAGCTGGCATTTGCGGATTACCTCTTGGGGCACCTGTACCAGAATTTACTAATGGTGCAGACTCATTTACAGCTTTTCCCGGCACATCAACAGAACCAACCCCAGTTCTTTGGGGAATAGGCATCTGTCCTTGAAACCCCAAATTTCCTGCCTGAGAACCATGAGTCATTTCCGGAACCCTTCCTTTTTGTGACACATCAACAACTCCCAGTTCTGGTCCTCTAGAAACAGTAAGCCCTCCCTTCTGCTCAGGGAATTGGGGCCCTGCATTTATGTACTTCCCTTCGGTTGCAACACTGGGAATGCCAACCTCTTGTGATACCATAGCTCCTGCTCTAGGTTCAGGAATGATGGTTTTCTGATCTTGAAATCCCCCTGGACCCCCGCTGCCCACACCAACAGATGGCACTTGTGCCTCTGACCGCTGCAGCTGCAGGAAGCCCTCTCCAACATTTACATCATTGTAAAGATCATCAAATTCATCATCCTCACCTATCATTTCATCCTCTGCAAGTGCAGGAATTGCTCCTCCTTCATGATACTGAGGCTTTTGAGCTCCTCCGAATTCCTCGTCTCCATAGTCTAATTGCTCATCAGCCATTGGATCCATTTAAGCTAACTCCAGTTCAAGAAAAGTACCAACACCTACTCAACAACAGGAACCGTGTGGTGATTAAAATAGACGAATGATTCGCACAATTCGAGCTGAGGATTGAGTAACAAATAACAATACAGATTTTCATCATGAGCTCGAATTCGAGCCTCATACCGGCCCAGGCCTATGCTGACCAAAAAAATATCTAGTTTTGCTTTTCATAAAACATAACCTTATCAAAAAGCTTTCATTTCGGCTCCAGTTTCTCGCCTGAAATGTGAGATGCTCAAGCTTCGCTCTTGTTTCGCCATGAGCTCGAATTCAAGCTCGGGATTGAGTACCAAAGAACAATACAGATTTTTCCGCTAAAACAGCCAATATTGTAAGCATCATAAAAATCAAAAAAAAAAAAATGCAAAAAATCTGTTTTGATTCCAGAAAATTAAAACACCGGCTTCGCTAAGAGGTATAATCAGTTAAATTCGTATTTTTCTACTATCCAAAAATAAATTCTAAAATTCAAACATACAATCCTTTTTTTTTGCTTCCTCCGGTTAGATCAGTAACCAAACAATGAAAGAACATATTCCAGCAAATAAGGAGAAGAAGAAAAGTGTAAAAGGTCACCTGATGACGGCAACCACCAAATCAACAACGGTGAACAGATGTAAGTTCAGATCTGCAAGAGTAGCTTTGAGGAAAGATCAACTGATGGACGGCAACCACCAACACAGCGACGAACGACCGGTGAAAGTTTAGATCTAGGGTTTTTTAGTCAAGACGAGAAGAGAGAGAGCGTAGAAAGAGACTGCGAGAGGATCGGGGAGAGAGAGAGAGAGAGAGACAGTTCTGGAAGATGGGGGTGGGCTGTTTTGTCTATTTGGCAGAAAAATAGGTAAAAAGGATTTTTTTTTTTTTTTTTTTTTTGAGCAAAAGGGTTAAAAGGGAAAAAGTAAAATCAACTTACACCAAAAAATGACCATCTGTGTCTATAACTGAGTAATCCACTTCTAAAGTCAATGAATTTATTTGAGATGTGGAATAGATTTATTAAAATATATTTTATTTTATATTATAAATTATAATTATAAAAATATATAATAATAAAATAAAGTCTAATTTAAATCCCTAAAATTGGAAAAGTAAAGACGGCTCAGATTCCCTTTAGTAGGAAAACGACTATGATCTTATCTAAATTCATTATAAATAATCCAATTGCTTACGATCTATATCACTTAAATACCAAATTTCGCCCAAACTCGCTGTACGCCTGGTACGCTCCCATCCACAGTCAATACCCAATTACCCATGTTGCACGCCACACCTACACAGACACAGAACACCAAAGCCCAAACGTCTCCTTCTCTCTGTCTCTCTCCTCTGCTGGAAGAAGAACCAGGTGGCCAGGCCCTATCTCTCCTTCTCTCTCCCCGATTGCTCCTCTGTCATGATACCAGGTACCTCCCTCCCCCTATCTATCTGACGGACACACACTCACACTCACTTCGCAAGCAGCACTCATCCTCATCCACAACGTACACACAGGAAACCATCACCACTCGCACACAGACACACACACACAGCAACACGCACAAACACACATACGCACACAGTTAGACACACACGCACTCTCTCTATCTTCGCCACATACACACACACAGCCTCAAACAGAGCACTCTGTGTCACCCACCCACCCACACACAAAGTCGAATAGAGCATACATCACACGAACACACAATCACACACAATCACAGACATCACAAACATCTGCACAAACCACATCCACAGACAGAGCACTCTTTGTATTATAATCTATATTATAATATGATCTACATCTAATTATTTAGGTTTCTTTTGTGAACATCTTGTCGGTAGTGGTGGCAATTGAATCGTGTTGAGCCCTATTCGGATCATGTTAGATAGAGTTTGTGTTGCGTATTAGTCGACTGTAATTATATCATTTAATTAATCATGTTAGACGTCTCGGCCCTAATCTTATTTATTTATTATATGTTTATGTATATATGTCGGATGTATCTACAAAGTTGGTTTCATACAAGTTGTGTTAAACTGATTTGTTTATTATATGCTTATGTATATATGTCGGATGTATCTCCTGTTGATTTTTCATCAAACTTGAAATTGGAATAAAGAAGTTTTACTAATGATAACATACTTTACGATATATACAACCCCAAAGAAGTGTTATACAACTGTTTCTCCCTTCACAATATAATTTGCGATGCTCATTGAATGATAAAAAACTAATCTTTACTCCTACAATTCTAGTATTCAAGAATTGTATGTTATGCTATAGATTAATCAGAGTAATTGAAGTCTCATTTATATTATGAATAGGCTAACAAAAAAAGAGAATTAGGGACAACTCGCCTGTTCCTATATCTAGTCGAGTGTGTGAGTGAGATAGTTGAATAGATATAAACTGAGTTATATATTATAGAGAAAAAGAGTCTAAATTGAAAATCAGGAAAAAAAAGTTGTGTAGATTTGTCTCATCAAAATGTTAAAATCTTAGTCTAAGAGATTTGCAAAAAAAAAAAGGTTTATCTACACTATTGTGAAAAATATTTCAAATTTATTTAAAAAACCAATTTAATGAGTTTAAATTGGTTTACCTACGCTAATCCATTCCTAATCAATCAAAAATTGTTGATTGTTGTGACAGTTTTGTCCTTCCAATCGATCAAGGGGCACTTCTATCTGAAGGTTTCCCAAGGGACACATCAGTCTTTTGAGCACAACCATAATAGGTGTAAGGTGTAGCCTCAGGTATTGGGGGGATTATAATCTCTGTGTTTTGTTTATCTGTATCATCACTGCATCATCCTCTTTCTATGGGATGGGATTGCCATGGCACTGGAACCTCGCTGTCATGCCTGCAGAGAGGGATTAAGGGTCAACAAGATGAGACTCCGACATTTCTCGGGACATTCTTCGATTTCAATGATGGGGAAATAGTTCCATGCTGGGCAATTTCCAAATGGTGCTCAGGTCTCTCTCTCTCTCTCTCTGCATATATATAAATATTGTGTATATATACCGTGTGTTGTCCAAGATAATTTTGGGTTGAATTTGGTAATGGGGTCGTGGGTAATTAACTATTGTTTCCTCAGACAATGTGAATGTCTGAATGCGTTGCAGTGACTATAATTTGTGTGCGCCAATGATATTTTAGTGGAATAGTAGTGAAACCACTGACAACTTAAGTGAACTAAAAAAGCTAATGAGTTTCAATGACATGTCATGGTACCAACATCTCTGTGTAAACAGAATGCCTTTGCATTGAGTTGTCTTAGACTGAATGCTAATTATGTCGAAGCAGAACTGTATGCTTATAACTTTGCAACATTCAGATGCCTTGTGCATCTAAATTGTATAGTCCTAGATCAATAGCACTTTGTGGTCGGAATTCATCCCGCCTTTTCACTTTAATAGTCCCTGAAATACATTCACCATCGTGGCGGTGAGGAACCATATTTTGGGTTAAGATTGTAATCTCGCTCTTTTGAAGGTACTGTCAAACTCAGCTACTGTTGCAGCCCAATTACCAGAACTTCGAAGTGAACTAGTCACAATAGTTCTCATCCTCCATCCTGATGATTGTGTGGATAACTAGCAGATAGGGCTGTGAGTTCTAATTGTCCTTGTAAAATAGAATGTTGCGGTTCATAGTTTTATTTCTTTGGTAATAATCACAACTTTGATACTTATTATAGATTGCGATATGAGTTCGCAAGAGACTCCTTTTATAATTCATTGAAGTGTCTTGTATGGTTTGTTGATCTGTATATGATCCTAATGCATAGCAAGTCCCCCAAAAAGCATTATTGTGAAAGTTCAGCCATGTTTTTATCCATCATTTTCAGGTTGCTTCTGAATTCATGTTGTGTGGTGAAGAGTTCATGTCAAGTTACTTGACAGAAGATGGGCAATGACCAGCCCAGATAGCAAAATTCACCAAATAATGCTCTCTGACAGGCAGATAAAACACAAAGCTGCACCATTTGGAGACATTTTGTTCTTAAACAATCCTCATCCACTTTTGAGTGATCGCTAATAACAGGCAACATCCAACCTTTTATGTTGTGAGAGATGATTTGCTGCACCCATTGGTTATTGGTAATAAAGCGAGGAAATTGGATGCCCTGTTTCCTCTTGTTGAAGATCATGCAGTGACAGATGTGACGAGATAAGATTCCTTTTGAAGTTATGGTGTCTCAATTCTGATGGACCTGTCTGTCAAATGAGATACAGCATTCCATGAATTACCATTTACTCTTGTCATATTTTGAAAGTTGGCAAGCGTTTCCTTACTTCACAAGCTATAATGCAATTCATGAACATGTAACACAAAATTGATGCATGTGACCCGTGGTCATTGGGTGGGTGCACAAGGATAAAAGAGCCTATTGGAAATTCTAGATTTTGTTTTATATTTTCACAAGGTCTACTCTGATTTGGCTACTCAGTGTTAGTATATGCCAAATAGACCTGTAAATTGATACAGTAAGATAAATATGACATTTCAAACATGTTGGTGGCATAGACGTTCCATATTTATGGCGGGTCTCAGTCCATGCTTGTCTCTGTTTTTCCTTACCCCGTAGTATGATGTACACATAGGCTGCCCCAAGAATTGAATTTAGCATTTTGATGGACTTCCAAGACAAAACAATAGCCCCGTGGGGCAATTTTTTCAGGTTACATGTGGAGGTTGCCAAAGTGCACATGCTGCAGCTGTTGGTATGTCATTCAATATTCCTATTAAACTGGAACAATTCCCTAAAATATGTTTTCCAATTTAATTAGGTTTTCTGTTAGTGTAATCTGCACGAGGCAATTCTAACTATTCTATTTTTTTTTCGCTAAACAAACACAAGATCAGTCATACAGAGAAATTTTTAACTAACACGGAAAGTTGTAGGTATAAAAACAAGAGAACTCTCTGGACCCACTAGACCAACACCTACGCAATTGTTGACTGGATGAGGGTCCAATGGCCATTAAGTACTCCTAACCCCTCCCTGTGGTGCTCTAGTACTCTACGGGGTATATTTTTTTTGCTAAACAAATACAATATTAATCATTCTGAGAAATTTACAATTAACAAGGCAAGTTGTAAGTACATAGGCAAGAGAATTCTCTGGGACTCACTAGACCACAGCACCAGGCAATTGCTGATTGGACGAGGGTCCAGTGGTCATTAAGTATTTTATTTTTTTTTAAAAAGACAAAGTCTACGTAAAATAAAGAGTCCCGTATGGTACTCGTGAGATACTTTTTTTGCTAAACAAACACGAGATCAATCGCACAGAAAAATTTTCAATTAACACGCCAAGTTGTAAGTACAGAGTTAAGAAAAGCCTCTGAGACGCCAGACCACAGCACCCACGCAATTGCTGACTACAGTTCTAACTATTCTGCAACCTTGCATTAGCAGCCGTTTCATGTGCAGAGAGGGGACTAAAGTCGCATTTGCTTCTACGAGGAGAACACCCTGAAATTCTAACTGGCTACAACCTAATTTCCACATTATACGGGAATGTAACTTATATTCCAAGGTCTCTGTATGCCCGGAGGGAGGAAATGCTTGCAAGGCATGCCGATTTGGTTGCAGGCAACCGTGGTTGTGTTGTACAGCTCAGTGATTTATTTGGGGATTCCTCTACTACGATAAACACTTCTTGGAAACCAAAGCATGTACAAATGGATGCTCGTAGCTTTGATGAAAATATTCAAAAGGTTGTTATCATCAATGAAGGCGCAGGAGACGCTGTTGGGTTATTGGGTAAGTGTATAATCACACTTACGTCATTTATTTCATATCACCTGTTCTTTTACATTTCTGCATGTCCTTGAGTTTGGTGTTACCATCCCTGCTCCCATTGCTCAAATGTATCACCAAATTTAGGGAAAAACCTTAAAAAAAACACCAATACTTAGCTTGCTCCCTATTAAACAATGGGTGATGGCATAGGTAGATTGGGTTCAAGCCTAGTTTTGGAATTATATGTTTAATTGCAGCTTTAAATTCTAATCTACTTTATTCAGTCATGGGTGGCTTGGTATGACCTGGCTGTCATCTCTTCTAGACAAAACTGATCAAATTGGCAGTGACTATCAGGCGTCAGCAGAACTCGTTAGAATGATCTTAAGAACCTTTCGTTAAAGGTTCACATAAATGATCGTAGTGATCATATTGATTGTATTGTTTATATTGAATGAAACTTCGGGATCTTTTTGGAATTAAACGTAAGTGCGCAATGGTCGAGTGGCAGAGGGTTTACGTTTCAGTTTGAGGCCGTAGAGGGTACTAATTGAGTTCGTAAATGTCTGGGTGACCAGTTGGTTTTTGGACTTGAGTACTGAACTGTTACCGGGAGTTTATCTTCGTCGGGGTGAAAGTCCCCCAAAATGTTGGATCATGTGTTCGTGTGGACCCTGAATGGTCTATTAGTAGCACTTTATTGTTGTTGTGATTGTATTACTGTTTTCAACTTAAATGTTTTTCGTTCAATACTTTTTGCTCTATTACTTATGTATGGGATGAACTGTTTTGATATTGCCGAATCATGTTAAATTATATTATTTTCAAATTCATTTGCTTGGAAATTAGGTTACTCTACTGAGTTGTTGATGCTCACACTACATTATTTCTCTTTTTTAAGATTAGCAGGTGACAAAGATATTTTGTAAAAGTTTGAACTACTTAGTGTTTAGGGTGCTCATTCTAAAAGTGGAATAATGTTTATGAGGCATGTAAATTGTATTAAGCTTGATGTACATGTGTGAGATGTGACGAGTCTATGACTGAGTCATAACATAGCTGTGTATAGTAAGTTTATCTATTGAGCTTAATATTAAACACTTATTATGTTTATGGAATTGTTATCAAAGTTTACTTATTATTTGGATACTTTATTTTTTAGTGATTGTGAAGATTATTAGTGCTCTGAAATATTACGAAAATAGATGAGGGTTTTATAATGTAAGTAATCAAATATCTTTTTTTTACCCGTGCTTTCATGAATACACTAAATAGGTTTTAGATACTTCATTACATAAAATTATAACCCTAAAGTGGAGTAGGAGAATTGTGCGCACAATATTCATCTTAGAAAAGTTACAAACGAACTCACCAGCCTACTATACCACTCTTACAATTTTCACCAGTTACAATTGAAAATTGGTTTACACCTGATTAAGCAAAACTTGAAGGATAAACCTACATGCCAATCTGTGCACGCAAAAAATGTCCTTCATGGCTGGAAAGTTTAAAATACTTTTCTAATTGACATCATTTTTTCCATTTGGTCACAATGTTGTTCAGTACATAAATACCATAGTACTGAAAGAAGTCCACTAGAATGGGACATGTAGCAACAATGTTGTTCACTTTTTATGCATGCAAGATGCAATGTTTTAGGCTGCTGTCATATTTCGGTTGTGTGCATCCTCATGTCTGAGAGATGGGTGGATAGCCAACATCCCTGAATCTTGGTTAAATGGGCAGTGATTGTTCTTTATCTTGATTATTAGTCGCTTGGCACTTGTGTTTCATTTGATATGAGACATCTTTTGTAAATTAGTTCCATCTTTGTTTTATACACTGATTTTTGCTGTTTCTTAACATGAACAATCCTGTGGTGAGTTTTTCTATTGTCTGGTTTTCTCAAGTTAAATGTTGGACATCAAAGGGTCATGTCTTGTTCTCTTGAAAAGGACCTGCTATGTTGGCCAAACACCAATAATGTGTTCTTTCTCTATTTCACCCCTAACTACCTACCCCCGTGGGCGGAAAAATAAAGTAAAAGGTGACTTCACATTTTTCCGCTTACTACTTGATTTGGTTGTTTGTCCTACTCAAAATTTCCATGTTTTTCTCATATGGATTAGAGAACAAGAGGAAGTGCTTTTATTTATTGCCTCAACCGCAAGAGAACAAGTTCATTTATCCTGATTCCTTTTGTGTTTATTTTGTTTTCAGCTTCGGCTCTTGTCTCACTGATTCAGTGACCCCCTAATTGTTACAATTACTTCACTTGTGTGCTTTCATGTTTGCTGTCTATAGGTGTCTTTCGGCTTGTGCAGTACTTATCTGAGAACCATTTGCTTGGAAAGGAACAGGTAAATGCTGGTACTGGGACAACAGCTGTTGATTTAGGTCTTGGGGCTATGTCTTTAGGGTTAGTCCTATTTTGTATTGGAATTTATACAATCCGAACTTCATAAACTCTTTAACTGATAGCTGTATCGTCTTACAAAATCAAGTCTTATTCCAGTTAATATTACGATGGTCATCAAAAGCTGCTGTTGTTTTTGGTCAGGCTCCCATGGGAGGTCACTCCAGTGATGCTGGCTGACACTATTGATGGATATAGAAAACAGGAGGAACGCTTGATTTCTGAATTCTGTAGGTGTTGTGCTTTTCCTCGTCTCGATGAAGCCTTAAGCCAAGTGAATGGTGGGATCGTGCATTGGGTAGAACGTAACTATCCGAGGAAGTAAGTGATAAGCCTCCTGTCTTGACAACTTTTCTTTCTATTCTTTTTCCTTTTTAACTGATCTTTTTCTTTTCTTCTCCCTGATTGTGTGTGCACGCTCATTCTTGTCAGAGAAAAGGGGGGATTAACAGGCCATTAAGTTTTCCAATGTGCCAACTCTTTTATTTATTTGATCTCATAGCTCCTTCTTACAGAGAGCTCAGTCAATTTTTATACCCAGAAATTAGTTATTGCTTTTTGCCACTTTTATAAACAATTTTTTGACATACACTTAACAGTAAGTCCTCAACTTGATTCTCAATATCCTCTGCTACCATCTGACAAATTTTTCATTTTTATGTCTTTCATCCCCTAGTATGTTCATAAGAGAGAGGGAAGTGGCGGTGATACATGATCTCTTCGTCCAATTAGGCATTCTTGTATCTGTATTTATTTCTCTAAATATTTGTGATCGACAATACTGTGCTCGGAGATATTTAATTAGTTCCAAACAATGCCTGCATAGTCGACCTCCTCTTGTATGTGTTTGATATGCCCGTATTGTTATATATAATGCTAAGTAGTGCAACTATGACCACCTAAACATTTCTTCTCTTTCACCAGCACAAAATAACCTCTAATTCCGGAATCCTTTGTTCGTACTTCTGAGCTACATTCTGACACTGGAATATATCCCCAGCATCTTATCATTTGTTTCTAGTTTTCTATATTTGGTTGGCCATTGTTAATTGCAAATTCTCTTTCTGTTGCCCTGTTCCAGATTTGGAAATGTATTAAAAGGGGAAGTAGAGTCATGCCAGCAGATTGCACAGCAAACTGGCAACACAACTTAGTAAGAAAGAGCAAGGAGGAAATGCAAAAGTGATTATGCTCCACACTGGGGGGACCCTAGGCATGTTCGGGTTAGCACAGCGATACAGGTCTTACTTCCATACACTCGAGGATGGACTGCACAGTTAAACTAGTTCTGCATTGTTGTTTTATAAAAGAACCAAACATCATCTTTGCTACTGAAACTTCCATTTTGTTATTGAATGTAGAATGGATTTGAACATCAACCAGAGTAGATATTTATTTAGTACCCCTTCAATAGTGTTATTTATTGCTTAATGGTTAATGGACTAAATTCCTTATTTGGGTCACAAATTGAATTTTACTGCATAACCAGTTCTGAGGGCTATTCAAAACAATTTGGGCCCCTGAAACCACTGTGAACTTTTCGGGCTTTGTTTTCTCCCAAATAATGTCATATCATGTTCCTACCGAGTTGAAGTGATATCATATCAACATTTATTTATACCCAATTGATATATATTGTTTTATAGTCGCGTTCTAGTTCGTCTATGGCCAGAATCGCATCGATACATTTACTCGACCCGTTAAAAATGATCCCATACTAGGTGACTTAAAAGTTGATTTTTTGTCAAAATTGACGGATTATCGGCCAGTCCTGCAACATAGTTTAATCGATCTCATTTGTCTGTGAATCTTGGAAGTAGAGAAGTAAATGTATGACTGCATTGGTCTTATACTTGCCAAATAAGATAATCTATGAACATTCTTGGTCATAGTGTTCATTCCATTTAAAAAATGCAGACCAACCATATCATATAATTGAATCTTCAAAGCCACCTTGAATCCCATTCCACCACATTAATAGCAATACCTAGGAAACCTTCTCCGCACACTATGTTAAAAAATAGTCATTGCGACAATGTTGAAGTTATCACGTGATATCATCAATTAATAATATACAGACAAATAAAAAAATGAATTTCACAAAAATAAACAAGTATCCGTCCATCCAAACAGATAATTATTTACTTTTTTTTATGTGAGTCAATAACTATCCAAGTAAGATTGACTTTGTTGACATGGTATCACCGTTTTATTGAATATTCTCTCAACAAACACACATAAATTAACACACGATTCGCCACAGTACCAAGACACAACATGGTCCACATCTCCCCAGATTCTGTTGGTCGCCGGCCATTGAAGCTAATTAATAAATATATTAAGAGCACTTAGTGAGCATGGTGGTGGCAGCCACCACTGTGGGGGTGGCAGCCTTCCTTATAACAAGGGGGAGCAAATAAGGATGGTCCCATGGATCCATTGTCTCAGACACGTTTACTGTTACTTGGCATGCCCCATTATCTATACACCGAGTAATTCTACACACACCAAAACTTTCATCAACTTTTTTCATCAAATCAATGTCGGCTGCAAGATTTATGGGTCCCATACATGACTCTAGACATCCAATGAACAAGATCTTGACACATCATTTGACATAAGTGAAGTATCACTGGCTAAAGTAAGTTTTATAGTGGTTTGAGATTAGTTTTTTGTTTGCTGCCTTCTCCTAGGAGAAAATATGGTACTTCTTCAATGAATTACGGGAAACACAAGGGAAAGCTAAAGTAATAGAGATAAAACATAAATATTCGCGTTTTAAGTTTAAGTTATATAAACGATTTAAAACTCGAATTTAACTGATGTACATAATTGAAAATTTTTAATCATCTCTGGACCCTCTCTTCCCTCTTAGTTCTTATCTTTCGGGGAGAGTTAAATCTCAAATTTGTAGACCATATTGCAAGTGTTATCCAAGTTCAATTGTGAAAAAAAAAATNAACGATTTAAAACTCGAATTTAACTGATGTACATAATTGAAAATTTTTAATCATCTCCGGACCCTCTCTTCCCTCTAAGTTCTTATCTTTCGGGGAGAGTTAAATCTCAAATTTGTAGACCATATTGCAAGTGTTATCCAAGTTCAATTGGGAAAAAAAAAAANCATCTCTGGACCCTCTCTTCCCTCTTAGTTCTTATCTTTCGGGGAGAGTTAAATCTCAAATTTGTAGACCATATTGCAAGTGTTATCCAAGTTCAATTGTGAAAAAAAAAATTAATAATTGAATAATTAAAAAAGATAGTATGGGGGCTGAGTCACCAACAAATAGGAATGTCTGTATGTGTGCTTGGAACTTGACATAGAAACCTGCTTTAAAAGGGCTGGAAAGGCTGAAGGAGGAGACATCCCTTTCACTCACTTTTTATACTCACGAAAAGGAAAGGGGTTCTCGTTTCAAACACACCAGAGAGAGAGGGGGAGAGAGAGAGAGTTGTGGCCCATGACCTGTGTGAACTGAATGGGGAACAGAACAAACAAAAGCTAGTAAGCTATTAGTACTGGAAATATATAGTTTTGTGAATGAGACAAATGTTTAGATAGGAATAACACGAGAAAAAGGTGATTTGTTTAGTTAAATAACCAAAAAGTGAAAGATTAAAAAAAAACATCGATGAGGAGGATGTTCCAGCCACNTACTGGAAATATATAGTTTTGTGAATGAGACAAATGTTTAGATAGGAATAACACGAGGAAAAGGTGATTTGTTTAGTTAAATAACCAAAAAGTGAAAGATTAAAAAAAAACATCGATGAGGAGGATGTTCCAGCCATAAGTGTGATTAAACATGGGTATGATATTAAAAAAATAGATCAATTTTATACCACTTTTCGTTTAAAACATGGCAAAAACAATTTTAATATGAATTTCAAGCATTCATAATCTCAATAGCATGGGTCGAATTACCCATCCCTCACCTATTCATGAGCCATCTCTCCATGAGATTGTGAAAGATATTTCACTAAAAATATTCTTACTCTTTTCTCCGAATTATATATCCTCAAACAAAAAGGATCTTGCACGATTAAAAATAGTGAAAGATTTATATTTNAGCATGGGTCGAATTACCCATCCCTCACCTATTCATGAGCCATCTCTCCATGAGATTCTGAAAGATATTTCACTAAAAATATTCTTACTCTTTTCTCCGAATTATATATACTCAAACAAAAAGGATCTTGCACGATTAAAAATAGTGAAAGATTTATATTCACTATGTCATGTCAAAAAAAATCCAAATGACTCATTGAACAAAGTGAAGTACATTGTAACACAACGAAACATAGAGAAGTGTAGTGAGAGTGTTTATATTTAATGACTATTTATGGTATGATGATTCTCTGTTGTTGATTAAAATAACATTGTTTCACACAAAAACGACGTTATTTTGTTAAATAGAATGATATTGTTTTGGTGCAAAACACGTTGTTTTAATCAATAGTGGAGAAGTCTCGAGACTCTGTTATGTCCGTTTGCATATTATTGTTATTATTATTATTATGCACAAGTTGGACTACATTTAGATTGCACCAATAATTATTCTAACTGTTCATGCACGTCCATCTCTGTTCATTTGAAACGTGTTTCTTTATTTCCAAAGCGTTATTGACTATTGACAAAGTGTTATTGTGATGAATATGCTTTCACAATTATTCTGATTATATATATATATATATATATATATATATATATATATAGATAGATAGATAGATATGGTGTATATAACGATTCAATTTCCGAAGGTCGTGAATCAACACAAGCGAAAGTAGCACATGTGACTGAAACAAACTAGAAAAAAATGTAAAAAAAATGTTCTTGTTTGGAGAAATTAGAAGGAGATATACCAAATTAGACTTAATTGTAAAAAAATACACAAAAAAAAATCGAATAATTAAGTCCTTAATTTTGATATTTATTTGTATCTAAGTACATTATTTGAATTTTATTAATTTTTTTGTGACATTTTTGCCCTCCATTAATTNTATTTTGTTAAATAGAATGATATTGTTTTGGTGCAAAACACGTTGTTTTAATCAATAGTGGAGAAGTCTCGAGACTCTGTTATGTCCGTTTGCATATTATTGTTATTATTATTATTATGCACAAGTTGGACTACATTTAGATTGCACCAATAATTATTCTAACTGTTCATGCACGTCCATCTCTGTTCATTTGAAACGTGTTTCTTTATTTCCAAAGCGTTATTGACTATTGACAAAGTGTTATTGTGATGAATATGCTTTCACAATTATTCTGATTATATATATATATATATATATATATATATATATATATAGATAGATAGATAGATATGGTGTATATAACGATTCAATTTCCGAAGGTCGTGAATCAACACAAGCGAAAGTAGCACATGTGACTGAAACAAACTAGAAAAAAATGTAAAAAAAATGTTCTTGTTTGGAGAAATTAGAAGGAGATATACCAAATTAGACTTAATTGTAAAAAAATACACAAAAAAAAATCGAATAATTAAGTCCTTAATTTTGATATTTATTTGTATCTAAGTACATTATTTGAATTTTATTAATTTTTTTGTGACATTTTTGCCCTCCATTAATTCATGTGTTTTTTTTTATAAAATGGTGAATCTCTATTTTTAATTTGTTACCACGTGCATAAATTACTGAACACTGTTTTTGTTATAGTAAATTTGTTACATTGTTATTGTTATACTATTTGAATACTAAATAAATTAATTTGAAAATAAAATCATTTTCTAAAAAAAAAATGCATGAATCAAAGTACATTAAATATAATTTGAAAATAAAATCACTTTCAAAAAAAAAAATACGCATATATGAAGGTACATTAAAGATAATTTAAAATTTAGATAAGAATATATATATATATATATATATATATATATATATATATATATATATATATATATATATATATATAAGTGATTTAACAACAAGTATATATAAATATGTATTAACAAACACACATGAATTAATGTTCATTAAAGATAAGAAATTTTTAATTAAATGACCTTAAAATAGACATTTATATCTTTGTAACTCAACTGTATACTTTTTTTCTAAAATATGTTATTTTCTGTATTTTTTGTCAAATAAGTTTAATTAGGTATGCCGACATTCAAAAAACACTTCTTTTTTTGGGTTATAAATTGTAGAGGTTTGTACCGACTACTTTTTTAAACTTAGATATTGATCGCCGTAGTCTAAACCAGTCTAGAACATGTCCCCAGAAGAATAAGATTAACTGACCCTTAGAGGATATGCAGTGTTAAACTTAAAAATCTCTAAATTACCAGAAGACCAAGGCCAAACTTAACCATTGAAATACCGCTAAGGATTATAGGTCATGTGTTATCAATTCCATTCTAAAGTTTATATTCATGACAAACATAACAAGGCAAAAAACAAAATAAATCAGATATGGTGCAGCATTTATGTTAAATTACAACCTCATCTCTACTTTAAGAACCATTTTAATTCCTCATAATTATGTTGCATNATATATATATATATATATATATATATATATATATATATAGATAGATAGATAGATATGGTGTATATAACGATTCAATTTCCGAAGGTCGTGAATCAACACAAGCGAAAGTAGCACATGTGACTGAAACAAACTAGAAAAAAATGTAAAAAAAATGTTCTTGTTTGGAGAAATTAGAAGGAGATATACCAAATTAGACTTAATTGTAAAAAAATACACAAAAAAAAATCGAATAATTAAGTCCTTAATTTTGATATTTATTTGTATCTAAGTACATTATTTGAATTTTATTAATTTTTTTGTGACATTTTTGCCCTCCATTAATTCATGTGTTTTTTTTTATAAAATGGTGAATCTCTATTTTTAATTTGTTACCACGTGCATAAATTACTGAACACTGTTTTTGTTACAGTAAATTTGTTACATTGTCTTTGTTACATTGTTATTGTTATACTATTTGAATACTAAATAAATTAATTTGAAAATAAAATCATTTTCTAAAAAAAAAATGCATGAATCAAAGTACATTAAATATAATTTGAAAATAAAATCACTTTCAAAAAAAAAAATACGCATATATGAAGNAGTTTTGTGAATGAGACAAATGTTTAGATAGGAATAACACGAGGAAAAGGTGATTTGTTTAGTTAAATAACCAAAAAGTGAAAGATTAAAAAAAAACATCGATGAGGAGGATGTTCCAGCCATAAGTGTGATTAAACATGGGTATGATATTAAAAAAATAGATCAATTTTATACCACTTTTCGTTTAAAACATGGCAAAAACAATTTTAATATGAATTTCAAGCATTCATAATCTCAATAGCATGGGTCGAATTACCCATCCCTCACCTATTCATGAGCCATCTCTCCATGAGATTCTGAAAGATATTTCACTAAAAATATTCTTACTCTTTTCTCCGAATTATATATCCTCAAACAAAAAGGATCTTGCACGATTAAAAATAGTGAAAGATTTATATTTACTATGTCATGTCAAAAAAAATCCAAATGACTCATTGAACAAAGTGAAGTACATTGTAACACAACGAAACATAGAGAAGTGTAGTGAGAGTGTTTATATTTAATGACTATTTATGGTATGATGATTCTCTGTTGTTAATTAAAATAAACATTGTTTCACACAAAAACGACGTTATTTTGTTAAATAGAATGATATTGTTTTGGTGCAAAACACGTTGTTTTAATCAATAATGGAGAAGTCTCGAGACTCTGTTATGTCCGTTTGCATATTATTGTTATTATTATTATTATGCACAAGTTGGACTACATTTAGATTGCACCAATAATTATTCTAACTGTTCATGCACGTCCATCTCTGTTCATTTGAAACGTGTTTCTTTATTTCCAAAGCGTTATTGACTATTGACAAAGTGTTATTGTGATGAATATGCTTTCACAATTATTCTGATTNATTTATAAATTTATAAAATAAATTTAATTTAAATAATATTATTAAATGGCATATAAAACCAAAGAAGAGTAACTGAACCTCTCTAAGTCCTGAATCACCCATTTGACCTTTACTGTTATGGTCACCGGAGAGGGCCGAGAATTCGCTACCTGAATTTGTTGAAATTCAATCCTACTCGCACCCTCACGAAAGGCGCGTGTAGAAAATGCACTATCCGGGAACTACTCGTCGAAGGAAACTTATCATCACGCGCCATTGTTAATCAGGATTATATTTGCTCATGTTTCTCGAAATTAACCGAAGTAGTTGGTTTCTTTCTTACAACAAAATTAACTACTTTTAAAACAAACTTTTAGCCTTCCTCTCTCCCTCTCTCATCATAAATGAGAGTTCAATTACCCTCTTTATTTCTACCGCTCTAACAATCTCTAAAATTATGTTTGTTTCTTCAAGGGAGAGTGCATTAATATACAGAGAAAATGTAACCGTCGTCGACGACGGAAGGGCGGATCTGGTCAGCGTCGTTTGACCATAAATACGACAAGTCCAGGGGTATTAAGGTAAATAGGTAGACCCTTCCCTGATTTATTTATTCTCGTTCGGCTATGTCGTTGTTGTTGCTTGTCGGTCTCTTGATGAGCCCTGGCGTCTCAGCTACCCTTTTTATATAAATTCTCGCCTCTCTTTATCTCTGTAGAAGAGGCGAGAATTAGGCAAAAACACAAAGGCATACACTTTTGTGTGCACATCTTGAAAGAGAGAAAGATAGGGATGAGAACAAGGAGGGGGCTGTGTTATCCCAAAGTGAACGTGTGTTTGGAAAAGATGGCTGTGAAGAGGGAGAGAGATTTCGCCGGAGAAATAGTGAGTGCCAGGAAAAGGTCCAGAGTTTCCCCAGAGAACGCCGGAGACTGTGATTTGTTCGATGCGTTGCCGGATGATCTAGTTGTTTGTATTCTCAGCAAACTCAGCTCCACAGCTAGGTGTCCTGCGGATTTCATCAACGTTCAAGTAACGTATGTGAGATTATCTTTAGCGCTTACGAAATTGTGTACTATTTCCATTAGGTTATCAGAGTTTTCGCCGGAAAATTGAAATTCTTCATTTCGACTCAGTGTGTTATACCCGATTATTATTCAATTGATTGCATCGAATTTGTTAATCTTAGCATCTGAATAAACAAATTTCCTTTTTTTTGGTTGAGAGATATTAATATATCTAAGTTTATTGGTTGTGTTTGAAATCTAATGTTATTGAATTGTATGGAAACAGATGCAGAAGATTAAATGGCTTGGGTCTTCATTCTCTTGTACTATCAAAAGCCTCTCAGAAGATGTTCTCCATTAATGCTAACAACTGGTCTGAGTCAACTCATAGATTCCTAAAACAGTGTGCCGATGCCGGAAACGTTGAAGCCTGCTACACTCTTGGCATGGTCAGTTAGTATATATACTTATTATGTGCATATCTCTGTTTGTACTCCTTAATCTAAAGATGAATCCAAACGTCATGAAAATTCCCTATGTGATGGTGGTCATTAATGAGATAATGGGCTAATAAGTTTTTGCCTTAACACAGATTCGCTTCTACTGTTTGCAAAACCGAGGCAGCGGAGCTTCTTTGATGGCGAAGGCAGCGATTAGCTCCCACTCGTCGGCACTGTACTCTCTCGCCGTCATTCAGTTCAACGGAAGCGGAGGCTCCAAAAACGACAAGGACCTCAGAGCCGGAGTGGCTCTCTGTGCGCGAGCGGCATTTCTCGGCCACATCGACGCGCTCCGGGAACTCGGCCACTGCCTCCAAGACGGTTACGGCGTCAAACAAAACATCGCCGAGGGACGACGATTTTTGGTCCAAGCCAACGCTCGCGAACTAGCCGCAGTGCTGCCCAAGACTCCATCGGCTCTAACCTCCGGATCGTGGCTGACGTGGAATCCATTACCTCATCTCCGCCACGTGGCTGGCTCAGGGTGTCCATTACTGAGTGATTTTGGTTGTAACGTTCCGGCTCCGGAAGCTCATCCATCGAACCGTTTTTTGACGGAATGGTTCGAGGCTCGTGGAGGTGTTCCTGGTCCGGCGCTCCGGTTGTGTTCGCATTCGGGTTGTGGAAGACCTGAGACGAGGAGGCATGAGTTCCGGAGGTGCTCGGTTTGTGGCGCTGTGAACTACTGCTCACGTGCGTGTCAGGCGCTCGATTGGAAGATGCGCCACAAGGCTGAGTGCGCACCGGTGGAGGGTTGGGGTGATGAGGATGGAGATGGTGAAATAAACGGCAACGGGAATGTTAACGGTGACGGTAACGGCAATGTAAATGGGGAAGTTGTTGAAGATGTTGTGGTGGATAGTTAACGGTGAGGGTGAAGAGAACTGTGATTTTGATCACGGCGGTAACGCCACGTGAGCCTTTGAAGATGAAAATGAGCCAGGGAGGAAAATCCTGGTGGCCATTTTTGGGTGAAAAAACTCCAATTTTACTTTTGATATGGTGGCTATTTTGTATAGAGGAGGTAGTTCTGAGGTTTTAAAGGGGGTGTTTTTGTACAATTCTGCTATGTGGCTGACGGAGGCCTTGAATTTTCCGTAAATGACACTTTTTATTTCCCTAAAGCGCCCCTCTCCTGATTTTCTGTTCTATAACAACACTTCTTCTGTAAGTTTTATTTTAATTAGGTGTGTTAAGATTACGTTCTAACCCGGTTCCATTAAATAGAAAACATAAACTTTAATGTTTGTTGGGATGGTCAAGACCTTAGCTCCCAATTCAGGGTTTTGAAATCTGAACCAAGCCAAAGGGTGAACTGTGAATGAGATGCAAAAGGCTAGTTTGTACTAGATTTCAGCCTTACTATTCGCTTATCCACGATTATCCAATCTATCGGATCAGATACATAACTAACTTCATTTTATTGCAGAAATCTGCCATTGCTTGAGGGTAAAGAGAAAGCAGCTTCTCATATATGGTCTTAAATGTGAGGGAATCGAATGATTCAAAATTCAAAATCTAACAGTTCATAGCTTGGGGACAAACCCTTCCATGTTAAAAGCCGCATGTAATGAGAGTGAAGGGAAGGTTAAGGTAATAGTATGTATGTAACAGAAAGGAATCCTAGGTCGTATAATATTAATATTATCACCTTCCCCTGTTGCTGGTCTTTTTTCTGTTTTGGCTTTTAAGTTGGTCAAAAAAGGTCTGACATGAGAGAATGAGATTGACCCAGGAGAAAAAGAGAGAGACTAGATTAGAAGATGGGAAAGGAATAGTGGGGCATAGACATATGCATTTTGCAAGTGGCGAACCCATTATACAAAGAAAAGAGAAAAATGTAAAAGAACGTACTCAGAAGGCATCTCCCGGTTGCAGTGCACTTATTTTTTTTTATCACTATCATTGGGTGTTACTCCTTCCGTCCTTAAATATTTATCGTTTTACATAATTTTTTTTATTCTACAATATCTGTCATTTTATGAAATTAAAATATAATAAATATTTTTTTTTAAATTTATCCTTATCTCTATTTTTCAATAAGTGCTTAATAGATTAAGTGTAGGTTAAGTGTGTTTCATATTCCTTTACTTCTCAATACATATTGAATAAATGTATTTTAGTTTTATGTAATTATTTTTTACTCATATTAAAGTTATTTAATAAATTTTTAAATCTCTGTACAAAAATCTTAAACGACATATATTTGAAAACGAATAAAATATTTCCATCCAAAATCATCAAACCGAGGCAAGAAGGGGTGGTCCAAAGCCCCACTCCATTTAAGGCCATTCTTGTTGGTTGGAGCTGTAACTAATGTGGTTGAGAGTGCAACGACACCACTCACTAAACATAGTGCAACTGTACGGATATAAACTGCTTTGATTATTTGCTAGATCCAAATCCTAAAGTTAATTAAAAAAGTGATTCGAATTCCAACTTTTGTATTTATTGCGACTCCAACATGACAAGAACATTCTTCAAGACGTTCCTATTTTTGCTAACAATATGCTATTTAGTGTATTCCTAAGTGAGGGAAAAAGGGTGAAAGAACCCGTTATTATATGGTTGATAAGACTTGAATTTACACTACATTTGAAAATAAGTTGATTTTTAGCCATTCGAGAAATCCATTTTTTGCTCAATTATATTGGCATAGCATCGGATGCTTTCCCCCCATTCCTTTTTTGTTTTCCTTGAACAAACACAGAAGCTTCCACTTGATCGATAAGTTTTAGAGTGTTGGCGCATGCGCTTTGTTGGGCTTACATATAGACGTAAGGTTTGTCTGGCTGTCTGTTCTACCTTAAACTTCAATGAGGTCAGTCTTGACTCTTGAATCTTGTCAAGTAGTGTTAAAGAAATATGGAATCTTGCAATGCTCCCAAATGCCATCCCGCTGTACGTTTTTCAGTAATAAAATGGACCGTAATGCTTTGTCTGATTCTCAACAAGAGACATTGTAAGAAGAATATTATTAATCTTAGAGCGACTTTGCACCAGAAGTTTTTTTTTTTTTGTTCAGCCGGCTTGATGCATCCTGGTATCTAAACAATAAAAGTATTGAACTGCCGCAATAAATAATAATATAATTGTCCGTTAAACCACTCTTCAATTCTTACACCATTATAAAAACTTTGAATCAATTGGACAATGCACCCAACCTAGTTAAAATGGCACTCAGATAATCGTCATGTCCTCTTCAGCCAGTACAGCAACTGTACTATACTTATTGTCTCCAAAGAAGATCCACAGGATTCGTTGCAATTTCGTGTCATATATATAATTACTGCAATTTTGTGGCCCTTCACTTCTCACCAAAGATTGGCCGATAGAGAAGAAGCTTCCTCTTTTGTCCCTTCGTATATGTTTAGGTTTAGGTTTGGATCCGGTGCAACTTTGTCTTCCCCACCCACCCCAGCTTACAACTATTCAGTCACATAGGTCTTAAATGAATTATCTTCCCAGGAGTACGGTTTTTAGTGGTATTATAAGTGGGATAGCAGGAAATAATACTTGGGGGCTATCTATTATTTTGTTGGTTGGCATTTTATGCCCAGTACTATTTTTTGAATTATAATACCGATTCGATTTGTACAATAGCAGTTAACCTTTATACATCATTTTAATAAAAATCATTTACCAAGTTGTATTATTTGCTTGTATAAATCAACTGACGGTACAAGTAAGAAAAATAACACAAATGCCCTCATGTGTAGAGTTCATATATAAAAAATTTATTTTAATTTTTTTCTTGCATTTTTTAAAATTATTTTCTTATATTATGTTTAAGCGTACGGTGTAACCGATTTTTTTAAAAAAAAATTAAAATTATTCTAAATTTTTTTTTCTTATTTTATGTTTTAACGTATGGTGTCACCATTTTTTTTTTAATTTTTTTTAAAAAAATTATTAAAATTTTTTTCCTTATATTATGTTTAAGCATGTGGTATCATCAATTTTTTTTTAATTTATTTTTATGGTGTCCCCGATTCATAGTATCAGACTCTTTATTTTTTATATGAATTTTTTAACATTATCTGAAATTTTTTGGGTATGGATTGTCATACCATGTATTATACCATACATTGTGCAAAAGTATTACACAAACGAAATAATGGAATGGATGATGTGAAAAATAAAATTATATATTTATTATACAACATGTGATATAATATATAGTTGTTTGTGGGACTCACTATAGTACCTATTGAACAAACAAATATAAGAAAATATTAAAATACTTTATATTACCGATATTAATTTCTATTAGTATTAAAAATGTAATAAATATATTTCTTAATACCATATATAGGAATACTCAAGACAAACGTGCCCTTAATGTTGAGCAGCCCGCGATTGGTGTTTAGAATCCAAACACATTATAAAATCCACAAATACAGTTATGCGAAATATAAATGTTTAAGCTTAAACTCATCTAAAAGTTTTAACTACTTATTTCTTCTTCTCATATAATAATGGATATGTTAAGCCGCAAAAATTTCAAATTCAGGTCGACTCAAGCCTAAACTAAATTAGACTTAATGTACCAACCCACCAAATGTAGAGTGAAAATTTTAAACGCAACACAATAACCAGACATGAATTTAAATAGTTATGGTTGATTAATTTTGATTATAGTTCGATAATAGAATGACCCAGTTTGCTAACAAAAAAAAATGTTAATTTAGTACCAAATAAATTTTATAATAAGGTTTTAGTTCGTGTAATTGAAAATTTTATATAAATTTTTATAAAATTAGAGAATATTTTATTTGATTTTACAAGCATGTGTACCAAGTTATTAGATTATCGAAGAGAGTGGTTGATTTGATTACAAGAGAAAATAGTCTTAATTGTTGATTTTTGGTTCATAGGTTATACTTGTAAATCGATAGGCTGGATTAATATTAAGACATACGATATGATTAATTAAATAAAATTAATTAATAATCAACATGAATACATATGATGGATTGTCACCTCTAATATTTCTCCAAATGTTTCAACCTGGAGGCCGAAGTGTGGCACAGTGAGAGACCAACTTTAATTGGTCTCAAGCCAATGAAACCACGAGACCTGCTCAAATTAAACAATTGGGCCTGATCACCCCAGCGGCTAAGACCAACCAAAGAACCCCAGTGGGCCGGATCTGGTCTATAAATTCAAGCCGAATGAAATCTTTTCCATCACTGTTTCCTCTGTAGCATTGTTCAGAGTTCCTCGCAAGTCACATTCTTCTCATTTTCTCGTAAGCTGATCAACAAACAGGTACTGATTCTCAGGCCTTATCTATCGATTTTTAATTATTTTTTTCAAAGAATTTCATTCGAAGTTGTAGTTCTTTTGTTCGAATTTTTTCAATTATTTCAATACCAAACCTAGGGTTTCATTTTCAAATCAATGTATAAACTGAGTGTTTTTTTTGTTCCGATTTGATTAGAGATGGGGTTTATAATGGAATTCGCCGAGAATTTGATACTGAGGTTGATGGAGGATCCGAAGGAGAGAGATCGACAGTTCAGAGAGCATTTGTATACGATGAAGGACAGGTGCAGCAAGACCAAGGAGATGTGGAGCTATCCACTCCGTCCGTACGGTTTCTGGACTTTCGAACGCCACAATGCTCAGATCTTTTGGGACGCTCAGATAAGCCAAGTCCCCGGTCGTCGCGATCCCTATGATGACCTTCTTCAGGACTCCTCCGATTCAGCCTCCACCACCTCCAAGTAATTGGTGAGCTTCTATTATCAGAATTTATGTATCCTATGTTGCTTGTGTTTGCGTTTGAATGTATGAATATGACAGTATTATGCGTAGATATTGTGATCACCGGTGATAGAGGACTTGTGTGACACTAAGCTGTTGAAAACTCGCTGTGTGTTTTGTCACATCTATGTAATTTGAATTATATTCTGGATGGAATGGTCTGGACCTAGGGTTTGTGATGGTTCTTCAAAAAATATCTGTCTTTGAAATTTTATTTTGAAATTTTTTTTGGAAGTCCTTGGTACATGATGCAGTTATTTTTTCTTGAACTTCTGTTCAATAAAACGGACTAATTTTCTTTTTATATATGTTTATATGGACTCTATATTGGAGTAAGTTTAGATTTAGGCAGGCGTGATACTGAAACAGTGTTTTTCTTTGTTCATGTAAGAGTTTAGATTGTGTTGTAATTGCTGTGCTCTCCAATTTGACAGTTGTTGTATGTTTTCCATAGCCATGTATTTAGGAAGCACTGCAGTGTAAACTAATTTATTTAGCATTGAGTCAATGGTCTAGCGTCCCCGAGGGGTTAATGATGAGTAATGACTTGTGTTTCTGCCAGAGAATTTTGAGGTTTTTATTGACTGCAGGTTTCCAATGTATTAGTAGTTTTTTGTTTCTTTATTTTTTGTTATTCAAGCTAGCGGGTTTGATTATGGTACCGGATTATTTTTTTGGTACCGTACCACTTATTTTTTTTTTTGGATATCTATACCTCCTTGTGGATAGAGCTTATTAATTTTTAGAATGCACTCGCTTTTTGAGTTCACTTACCACTTTTTAGATATAATTTATCATATTTTGGATAAAATTTACTATCGTTTTGGGTTTTTTCTACTTTTTGGTACAATTGTGTTTTCCCAAGCTTTATTATACATGATTCTCTACCTATTTCATCAGGGGACATGCAATTGTTTTTTAGCTAGTTAAAGTAAAAGCACTTTGTCTAAGAGGTGAGTGAGCATCATCAAGTTAAAAGAGAACATGAGAATAAAAATGAAATCAAGTGCCATGTAGACCAGTTTTAGACATTCCCACTAAAACTGCAGTATGCTTCAGTTTTCATTTAAAGTGTTCTGATGGCAAAGATTCCCACAATGTTAAAGCTTGCTAGTCCCCCGCCCCCCAAAAAAAAAACCGCACCCCCACCAAAATTCTCCTCTCTTAGAACACAACAACAAAAATATATAGTTCTTAGAAGGCTTCTAAAACATTAACCAATCCCATGTAAAACTAGAAATGTTATTGCATTCCTTCATGTGTAGGGATGCACACTAAATAATATGAAGCTCAACCTGACACTAATCATGTGATATAGATACAAATTTAAACTTGAAAAGCCTCCGCTCGAGAACCAAAACGAGACTTTTGTCATGTTCCAAACTCTATCCGAATTAAACATGTCAATAAATTAGAAGCTTGAACAGGCACACACTGTTTTAGACTGTAGGTGTTGGGATTGGTACTTTTATATTTGTAGGTTGTTTCTGCAGTCCGACATTGTCGGTGTTTTCTCTTGCTGCACTGCATGATAGTCTATTTTTAAGTAGTTGACTGCTGTTGCCATGCTTGGAATATGGGGTTTTTTGGGGGGCAGCCAGCAGGCTTATAGCAGTCATGCACTGTTTGTTTTATTCATAAAACTGGCCACTCAGATAAGCTTTCTCACGTTTTGGCTCATGTTGGAATGGAAAAGTTCTTGTCTAGTATATGATGCTTTTTAACCTCTTTCAAAAATAGGATGAAGTGCTTTGATTGGTGTTTGACGTTCCAAAAAAAAAATATATATATATATATATATACACACATTATTCATGTGTATGTCCACATTTGGCTGTCATTAGACCTTGATTTTGTATTATGTGTTGCATGTAAGATGGAGGCCAATGTTTTAATGCACATATCTGCACGTGTGCGTGTTTTGCTGTAGTAAGAAAAAGCTTGGGGATATAACTGCTTTGTTATTTGGTGTGTGGTACTGTTCGATAACTTCAATCGTGTTTGACTTTGATTACATTGGCAGAAGTGTTTAGTGCTTATGTTCCTCTCATTTATCTTCCTGTTGGTATCTTGTATTTCAATCCGTTTTGTCAGGCTTCTGCTAGTATTTTTATACTATTATCTAGTTTGAAAAAGAAAAGATAAGTCGAGGTTTGTTTAGTATTTTTTTTTTTTTTTAGGATACACAATGGAGGTTTCTCATAAATTTTATTCCCATTTGCAGGAAGAGCCTGAAGCCATCAATGCCAATTATTTTAATGGGTGATGTGTGAGGTGAATAATCGAGTCCTTTTATTGAAATCGAATAAGTATCCCATGTTAGAGTGATGGCGGTGAAGACATTTTTCAGGTGAAAGTTCGACTCCATACTGTTTAATTTGCCATTTTCATTCTCTTTCCATCCCTAATGATTGTTGAATATCCGCTTTATTAGCAAACTGCTATAAAAAGTCTAATGCTATATTGGGTTTGTATTGTATATTATTGTTAAAAATGAGTCTAGTATTATCAAACTTATAGACTCGTTTAGCTGAGTAATGTGGCACTCGTCTTGGCTGGTTTGAGTTCAATTTGTTAAAATATAATATATACAGATATTGAGTGGTGAAGAAATTACAACACTCTTATGCTTTTGGATAAATGGAGGAATGGAAAGTTAGAGTGATATATAAAATATCATGTTTGGTAAAGAAAAAAAATAGGACGGATAAAAAAATATATGGATTAATTTTTCTTTCATCTCACTAAAAAATAAATGGATTATATATATATACTAGTAAAACTTACACTTGAAAGCAATGATTAACACAAATTATCAATCAATATGGACTCACTATTCAAAAAAAAAATTCAATAAAATAAACTTAAAAATCCTGTCCCTTGGACAACATCAATCTGCATACACAATTTATATAATCAAAATAATAAAGAATACAAATTTTTATTTAAAAAAATGATTCACGTTATAGTCTTTCATAATATAAACTTTATCTAAAATGCTCTTCCTGTGCCGGTTTTCATGGAAAATTGAATGGAGTATCGAAAATATTTTACCTTTTTATTTTTTGAATTGAAAAATGTTGTACATGACACCTTAGAAAATTGGAATAAGTAGGACTTATTAGCTCATTACCTAAACACCAAATAGTCTCAAACTCAAGATATTATGTCTTATTCCCTTTGTATTAAAAAACTAAAATTTTATATTGCTTGCATTAATCCAGAAATTATAGTTACATAACACAAAAAAAATCGTTCACTCAGTTGATGAAATCATATATGGGGGAAAAAAAACAACTTTCACGAATGCTAAAATCAAATGTGTCAATTTAGTTCATCAGTAATAAATTTAGAAATCGTCATCGTATAGGGTGGGGTTATTTTCACTCTTTAAATCTCTTTTCCCATTCCACGTCATTATTTTACTTGAAACTACTAAATTCAATTTATTTATTATACTTATTTCATTAATTATTAAGTTTATTCGATTTATACCCATTTAATTAAACTATTAAATATATGTCAAAGAAACTTAAACAAAAATAGTAATTGAAGCGAAGTTTTAATGTTTCAATGTGATCTATATTATTTCGATGTGCTTTGAGAAATTTTGATATATTTTTACTAATGCCTTTGAAATATTTTGAGGTATTTTNCGAAGTTTTAATGTTTCAATGTGATCTATATTATTTCGATGTGCTTTGAGAAATTTTGATATATTTTTACTAATGCCTTTGAAATATTTTGAGATATTTTTTGTATATTTTGAGAATATTTTAAAAATAATTATTAATTTTAATTCTACTTCTAAAATATTTTCATACCAAATAATACACTGAAATAAAATTTTGATCATTACCTATATAATAGGTTGAAATAAAATTGAATGAATTTAATNTAAAATATTTTCATACCAAATAATACACTGAAATAAAATTTTGATCATTACCTATATAATAGGTTGAAATAAAATTGAATGAATTTAATTTTTAATTATTGAATATAGACGGAGTGTGTTTAGTAACTAACGGGACGAGTATAGATGGGGGGTGAGCTTAGTAGTTTGACATAAGATGATTAAATGGGGTGAAAAATAAAATTTAAAGGGTGAAAATAACCCCACCCAAACAAAATAGTTACCATGGTAAGAGTGAATGAATTAAGGTAGGCATAATTTGGGGAAGATATGTGTCTGATTTAGTGAGAGATTTCTCATTAAATTAAGGCAGGAATACGAAAGTCAGGGAGCTGTGAATGGGATGTGTAAACAAAATAACATTAATTTGGGGTAATTAAAAATAGGTGTCTTGAGCAGGAAAACATAATTCTTATGTCAATCTGATTTGTCTAATCAATATTTTTTAGTTGATTTGATCTGCAAAAAATTAGAGGTACGGCAGATTATTTGATATAACTTATCTTTTGCTCAAAATTGATCTAAGTCACAAAAAATTCAAGATAAATTTTGGGATTCAAATTCAGTTCTATTTTATTATATCTATATAATAAAATACAATATAATTTAAATTTCAAAAAATAAACAAAATAACTTTTATTTTTTGCAGTTGAAATCTCTTTAATAGAGAAAATAGGTCTCTAAAAGTATGTTTGGAATAATTTTTTATAAGTGTTTATAGGACTTACAATTTTTCATTACTATTTAAAAAAAAATATTGTTTAGAACTGTACCACCACCACCACTCCCACTCTTACCCCTACCACCCCCACCATCAAC